ATTCACCTCGACCATTAGCGGAAAGATGAAAACAAGATGGCGGCGATTCGAAATTCCAGTCTGAACCGATTCGAATAATTTACTATTCGATTCGAAATGCCCAGCCCTACACAAGGGTCGATGTTTATTGATGCGTCGGCGGTATTGCAGCTTGATTGCGGTTAGTTAGTCTAAGTTACTGTGCGATATGTCCTCAATTAAAAAATGAAAGTACGAAGATGAAAACAGAGTTGTCAAGTCAGAATGGGAAGAAGAATACGTATTTACCAGTCAGGAGAATAAACCTTTGTGCTTAATCTGCCATAAGCTGCTAAGTGAGAATAAAGTCAGCAATGTTAAACGGCACCATGAAACGAATCATGAAAACTTCTTACGAGACTACCCTCGTAAATCAGCTATAACTGTATAAGGACATACAAATTAAATGAGCTCAAATTGTGCATATATTTGAGCATAGCTGCCTGGTTTATCTATTTATTGTTATTGGACTCTTGTGTGAATTTCTTTTCTGTTCATGGTATTTTGATAATATTAATAAATTCACAAATTCTGCGGCTCTTTTAAAGTTCTGACTTGCAGCATGCGGCTCTTATACTAAAAAATTGTGCCCACCCCTGGCATAACAGGTGCACATCTCGGTTTCGCATACGCATACCTCCTATCTCCACAAGGATATATTAATTTTGCCAAAGTCAATGCAGCACTGAAAGGTTGCGGTTCTTCCAAAAGAAAACACGTTACACATCTTTAGATACCAGTGGGTGGTTTTACATGGCCTTGTTCGGAGTGAAAGACGAGGTCAAATATTCCAATCCAATTCAACTAATAAAATATTTCCCAAGTCCCTAAGCTGAAGAGCGCAATAGAAAGTGGCTAGATGCTGCCAATGGATCTTGGCTTGTATTAGTGAAATAAACTACCATTTATTCTACTAAAATTGAATTTCTGACATTAGAAGGAGATTCAATTTTACTATGTATGCAAAACTAAACCATGTAGTTATAAGATAGTTGTTTTTAACAAAAAGGCACTCCTGAAGTATTCGTACCAAGATGGTGCACAACCTGAACATTTTATGTTTACCAGGTTGAGGTTCAGGATTTGCGTCATCTTGGACAGAATACTTTAAATCCACAAATTGCTCAACATTATATACTCCACACCCACCTGGGTATTATTATATATGTCATATACATTATATCTAAACAATAAAAAAAACTTTATGTCCCAAAACAATGTTAAGGCCCGATTCTGCCGGCCTATCTCGAGGACTGTCTCAAGAGCCGTACCGCGCAGATTTCGAGTCGATGGAAATGTATATTTGATATACTAACATACCTTATATGTATTTTTCTTGTACTAAATTAAATTTAGTTTCTTGGATTTTATACCAGATCTTTCTGACGACGATAACGAATTCGCATGAGCGCAAAAATATATATCCAAACTATATATAATCAGGCATTTTATCTCACATTATTATGTTCGTGGATTGCCGTGGTATTTTAGATCAGTAATGAGTTTGTTTCGCCGTAAGTCGACGCAACCGCCAGTTACCTTGAACATAGATAAATTGAAATAAAGACACATTTTAAATTCTGGTGGTTGTCATAGATTAAATATTGCGAGTCGTCTCTCAGTTTAAGAACAACTGATCTATATAGGTATTTAACTCTTAAACTGGATAAAATCTGATTTTGCTGGTCGTCTAATCTCTAATGCAAAAAATAATTTTGTGGCTTCATATTGTTATGCCTGTTTGTCCTCATAAGTACAAGAGTATTTCGACTCCATAATCAGCATAACAATAAATAAATTATTATTAAAAACAAATAAATAAGAACTGGTTATGAAATCAGGAGAGCAAACAAAACCTTAGATGAGGTTTATAATGTACAGAATATAAGATGGAAGGTTTTGCCAAGAAGAAGTTCACTCACCTAAAACTATTAAATTAATTCACACACACTCACACAACCACAAAGATATTATAAAGTATGTAAAGTAAATGTGATGAACTTAAGAGATAAATTACATAGTAAACAAAAATAACTAGATAGCGATCGGAGACCGCCGACTTATCGATCTACCGCATGTTCAATTTTTTTGCATAGCTAAAAAAATCTGGAAAAAAAGCAACGAAAGTTAGGGGATCCCCATAACAGAAACTGCGGTTTCGATTCCTTCGCTTCGACTCAATAGCGACACCACGTGCCCCATCACTAATTTACTAACAATTCGCTAATTATACGACATATTTCATCCAATTCATCAACTGGTGCAAGATATTATGAATGCACTTGCAAAATTTGGAACAGATTCAACTTCGCTTTCGTGAGATATCGCGTAACATATGAAAGTGTCTTACAGACAAATACCTTGCCGCGCCATATTAGAAATTTTATAATGGTTGCCACTGCCAAATTGATCGATTTTCTAAACTGGAGTGAACAGTAAAGAAATACTTCCATTAAAAATATATTGCCATGCTGATGATAGTTGGAGTCTAATGCCAAATTATCCACCCAAATTTGGGGCTGGACTACTTCACTCCCCAAATTAGAGCCAATTATTGCCAAATTACCTTTTTGTCACCATGGCAGGCTGAATGCATCCTTTTTAGGGCTGTCCAAAATCTAAAATTTTTTTGATTTGAATCGAACCAAATATTTTTCTCAAATCGAACCGAATATTATTCCGCAATCCTAAATTTGTCTCTTATTTACAATAAAAACTCTACTTCAATATTGTGATAATCTATGTGCAGTTATATCTAAATTATTGCAAATATTTTGCATAACTATGTTTTCAGAGTTATAAAAGGAGATCACAAGCCTCCTTAAACTGGTCAAAAAATTAGGGTTTCGAAAACTATCAAGTTTTAAAAGTTGGAAATTTAATGCTTTTAATACTCGTAGTTGCTATTTTAGTCCTATTATCATTAATATTATTAACTCATTATTTTTTGTGTAATTTTCAGTAAAATGATAAACAACTATTAATATAGATATAACTGTTGCCCAAAAAATTAAAAATTGCATTTGGGGAACTCACAAATTCAGAGCTAGTTTGATGACATTAATATTTGATGACCATATTGTTGCTGTACAACAGCCATCAACTCACAAAAGTGCAATTATTTGTCATAGTAATAAATGGATGAAACAAAGTATTGCCATACCATGTTCCTATACAAATCGATTTTATTTATAGAACTGGCGTTTTTGGCTGACACAAAATTTGCCTTTTTCTACTTGTGCTCTCTCAAAAAACGTCATCTTTAAATCATTGTCATCATTACCCATGACTTTTCATTTAGGACCATGCATGGAATGGATAATTACATGTCACCGGGTAATAGGAGAGACATTTTTACAGCAAAGAAAGCCATAGGAACATGTTTTTGCTTGCCCGGTGAAAAACGCGGTGCAAAGGTGGTCGTGAGGCGCATTATGTACCAAATTTTAGCGATTTGTAAATTGGCCGAAAAACGCTTCGAATATTTTGCGATTCGATTTCGAATATTCGGTTCACATGGACAGCCCTAATCCTTTTAAAACCAAAATTACATACACAATCGACATGTATATATAATGGGCGAAAATTGTTGAATTTGAGACTCCAAAATAATGTTTTTTTTTGCCTCCTTGCTTAGAAAACCAAGAAATGTTCTTGCCTCAAAATGCCACAAAGTTTTTTGAAAAATATTGATGGCAATAATTAGTTGAAATTAGTCCAAATTGCTTAGAATCGCCCCGCACAGTTTGCTGAAGTTTTCTTTGTTTTGCAGTCAATAGCTATTGCCCGATGTTATACTGTGAATGTTCATTTTATTTTGTTCTTCAATTGTTTTTGGTGGACATGCGCGTACTTGTACATCTTTTAACCTTTTCCTTAAGGTATGCCCGATCCTCTCTGCATTTTGTTTGTCTGTTTGTTATTATTTTCTTTCATGTCAGAGTGACCAAGATATAATTGATCGAATTGATTGATAATTTTGATAAGACATATGTTTGGTCATTCGCACATTTATTTCAATTCTCTCGATTTATGCCAATGATTGTGTTATTTTATTCACCTTTTCTTTAAGCAAGCACTTTGTTGTTGAGTCCCACTCACTGTTTTTTGTTTGCTAGGCCCACAATATAGCCAAGCTGGCAAGTATATCATTAACTATGCTTTACTTACAGATGGCATGCTGTATTTTATGTGTTATTGTGATCATTTTTGCTTAATTCGAGAATCTCGGCTCGGCCGTGTGGCGCATCATGCTAAGCGTTATGAATACGCTCGACACCGCACCTCTGATTACCCTACGTAGGTTCGCAGGTTCGAATCCCATGCGGGGTTAACTATGTGTGAGAGAATTGCAGGACTCCTCGCCGCCGCAGTGTAGTTCTCTTAACCGCCTTATCGGCTTTCCTCTCCTCCGGAATAAATATGTAAATCCTATCTTATCTCCTTCTGTCTAGGGTATTTGTTATGTATACACTGTTGATTGTAGATACACACCAAGCAGCAGGTATTAATATTGGATGCTAGTCTGGCTTAATACGTGTACTTTTAGTCAATCAAACATTAACGAAATCGCTTCATTCGTCTCCTAGAAAAGCTCTTACCGACCGCGGGCGATAATTCCCCAGCAGCCGTGGGCTGTTTTTTCATAATATATTTAAATTTAAAATCAACAACAAGCAATGAAATAAAAAAAATATGGGAAAACAAGAAAAATTCGTAAAATAAATGGCATATACGCGCTACATTTTATAGTTTTCCTTTTTGTGAATTTATGACGCTTCAATAACCAGATAACTACATATCGGTATATGTATGTATACATTAATAACCAGTATATCCATTATTCTTTTCAATCAAATAATGATGCTACTGTCCTCATTGTCTAATAGATCGTCACAAGTACACACCAGACTTCTTTTAAGAGCCTCTTCATATGGCCAATTTTTATTTTTAAGAATTTACAGAGGTTCCTATTCTTGGGAATTTGCTATATCGACTTTCATCGTGTTCCATGGAATATACTGGTATTATAAGATGGCTGTTGTCAAAGCACAACGAATTACAAGACAATCAACATGAAGTTGTTGAGTTTGCTGAAAAGCGATGGCCACAGATCGCATATTGGTAAAGTCTATTTTGAATTAAAACACCATTCGGTTAGAAGGTTCCCATCACCCATCGCATGCACCAAATTTTATTTCTCGAATATGTGAAAATCCTATCTAAAAGGTCCGATTCCATCGACATGATCACATAGAGAAAAAGTGCATACTATAACCACTGTACAACGTAAAAAACTTTAGCATATTTTTGCACGTCCTGGTTTTAACTAGCTATTTGAACCTGCATCATCCATCAATGATAGTTTTCAGTTTTAGTTGATACTTACTTGAGGTTTTGTTTGCTCCCCGGCTCTATAATCAATTTTATTTATTTTGTCTTTATCCATTATTTTATCGTCTATTATGCTAATATGGAGTCGAAATAAACTTATAACTTATATTATTTCAAACAATTTACAGGAGAAAAGATAAAGAGCCATCTGTAGACTGGCAACCCAAACTAGTTTTGGCACTTTTACAAGCAGATGAAAACGAAATTAATGAAGTCAATCAGTGGATAAGGAATGTTATTGAGAGGGTAACAAAACTGCAGTTTCTGACGGCTGTGATAATTCTTTCTATTGATTCGAATGAAATTTCATCAAGGGCTTGTACTTGTGTTGGTTTTTTTTATAATCATTTGACTGGGCAATTTAATGGGCAGAATAAGCTTCTTTTGAATCTCTTTTAAATCTTCAAAACAGATTTTAAGTTCTCACAATTTTTTATTTATTTATTTTATCTATGCCAAATGTCATGTAATATCAGCAAATCTCATTGACCTGGAAACCTTAAATCAAAATATCTGTCTCTTTTCTACAGTTGTCTACAATTCTACAGAATGACAGTGTTTAGCTTTTGGAAACCTTTCACTTTTAAAAAATTTCTCTTATTTCTACAAATAAAAGAATCAACTCTAACAACAACATATATGTATATCTCAACAGTAATTTAATACTTTCCTCAGGGTCGTGAACAGAATGCTTCAGCTAAGGAAGATCCCTTGAGTGTTTTACTGAATACTAAATCAGAAAGAGAAATTGGAGATGGTAAGTTTCAAGTGTAAAAAGTTTTCTATAAAAATATACTATTGTACATTATTTTATTCAAGTTTTCAAGCGCAATTGTTGTATTGATATAATATGATGAAACAAAACATGTGATTGTTTCACTGCAATCAAATACCATGCTTTAATTTTCTTGGATTTTTATAAGTTTTATTGATCTATGGAGACAAATAATTAAAACGAAGAATAAGTAAATATGGACTTGTTGACATTCTTGTGAGATGTAGTGTGCTATTTTCTAGGGTTTTGTCCACATTCAAATTTTAACTGTTTTTGAAAAGGTTATAAGAAATGGTTGAACGAATCTCGTGTTATTCTGAAGAATTCCTATGACTTTTTAAAAGAAAATGTGCAACAGCACTGGCCAAATGAACCTGAGTATGTATCTCGATTATTGTACAATAAAAATTTTCATAGCAATATAAAAAATATGACTCAAATATGAAAGAAACACATTTGACGTATAACAAGAAATTGGGTTGGTGCAAAATTTGTATTGAAGTCTCTACTATTTGTAATGCTAGATGCACTTCAAATTTTGAATATTGAACATAGAAAAAAAAGTTGATCTCCACCACTATGTTCTTATAGTGGTATTTATGTATGCCACTGAGGCGAAAATTTATGATTGAGTTTAAATTTTGTATTTTGATTCAATTATAGTGCAAGTTATTTTACCCTTTACTTTTTATTCAGTCTTTTGAAACAATCTAAATGGCCAAACCAATTGATTATGAAATGTCTGCGTGGTGGAGATGCTGATAGAGTGGAATCATTCATTAACAATTGCCAAGAAAAATTAGACAAAAGGGTATTTATTGAAATTGTATCAGCTTTCTTATGTTAGGGAGAAATTTATGACGACTGCGAGAAAGTTTCATTTCATTTTTATAATTGAGAGTAGTTTTGTACATTACTAGCAAACTTTCTACTTTTAAAAGACATTGCTTACAGCTAAAATACCATGCAGGTTGATTCGCATTCTGTAAAAGCTTTTCAAAAATCATAAATTGGATTGGAATGGTCACATTTTTACAGAGTGAGAGGAAAGTTAATATGTTGGCTTAATCATAAGGCATACCACAGCACATGACCTGTTACCAGTCCATGTCCTTAGTATTATTTAGATAGTTATGACCGTCAGATTTGTGGCTACAACGGCAAGAAGTTGAAGCAAATTTGAACTAGTGAATCTGCATGAGGTAGTCAGAGGTGTGATGGTAATCATATTCCAAATGCTTAGCTTGCTGCAGTATTCCACCATACCATTCTATCGGGGACATTGATATATTACTCTCAATTTGTGTTTTTTATGTCAGCAACAAAATATGTGAAATAGACTCATTTTAATGTAAATTTCCAGAATGCACAACAGAGTCTTGATCAAGTTCTGGAATCAAGTCAAGAGTGGTTAAACATGAATGATGACATCTTTGAAAACCAGAAAGATGCAGTCATGTCAGCTATTGATGAAATATGGCCGGGCAAACTCAAGTGAAAAATATTTTATTTTTTCTCTCACTTCAGTGTGTAACCTTTTTTACTATTTCCTTTAAAATTTATGCCCAACGCATTATTGTGCACAGAAATATTTTTAATAAAATGTTTGCATTTTTGCATCGGGCTTAGACTTGAGTGTTGGTTCATATTTCAATCAAATGTCATTGATTTTAATATACTATATATTTAGTTTAGCCTATCTGTCCATCCTTCTGAACAGTTGTTAATTAGGCTTGTCAGCAGGGAACCTATTGTATTCCTGTGTTTTATTATTATTATTATTATTTATTTATTTATTAGGCTTCCTGCTGCTTGTCAGCAGGGAACCTATTGTATTCCTGTGTTTTATTATTATTATTATTATTTATTTATTATTATTATTTTTTCAAATTGGTCCTGAAAACTTGACATTCACCTGAAATGTGCAGAAGTTCTCAGCTAGCAATAAAATGCAAATTTTTTTTTACGCGGGAAGCCTGTTAAAGCTGCACGCAGCTCTAGTTAGGCTTCCCGCTGCTTGTCAGCAGGGAACCTATTGTATTCATGTGTTTTATTATTAGGCTTCCCGCTGCTTGTCAGCAGGGAACCTATTGTATTCCTGTGTTTTATTATTAGGCTTCCCGCTGCTTGTCAGCAGGGAACCTATTGTATTCCTGTGTTTTATTATTATTATTTATTTATTATTATTATTATTATTTTTTTTTCAAATTGGTCCTACAAACTTGAAATTCACCTCAAATGTGCAGAAGTTCTCAGCTAGCAATAAAATGCAAATTTTATGCATGACTGACCACGCTTTCACGCTCCAGTGAGCAAAACGCGTTTTCAGTTTTTTTGCGATTTCTCAAAATTGATACATGCTATTGGGTTGAAATTCATAACAATGATTAATGGACATGTTCCGGATACGATATGTCAAGGATACGCATGAGTGACCTCGGCGATACGCTCCAGTGAGCAATATAGGATTTAACATTTTCATCTTCTTCTCGAGAACAACACTACTTAGAGACTTGAAATTTACATCACATGCAGATAATAAGTCCCCCATCATAAATTGCAAATTTTATGCATGACTGACCACGCTTTCACGCTCCAGTGAGCAAAACGCGTCTTCAGTTTTTTTGCGATTTCTCAAAATAGATACATGCTATTGGGTTGAAATCCATAACAATGATTAATGGACATGTTCCGGATACGATATGTCAAGGATACGCATGAGTGACCTCGGCGATACGCTCCAATGAGCAATATAGGATTTTACATTTTCATCTTCTCGAGAACGACACTACCTAGAGACTTGAAATTTACATCACGTGCAGATAATAAGTCCCCCATCATAAAATGCAAATTTTATGCATGACTGACCACGTTTTCACGCTCCAGTGAGCAAAACGCGTCTTCAGTATTTTTTACGCGGGAAGCCTGTTAAAGCTGCACGCAGCTCTAGTTATTATTATTATTTATTTATTTTTTTTATTTTTTTTTCAAATTGGTCCTACAAACTTGAAATTCACCTCAAATGTGCAGAAGTTCTCAGCTAGCAATAAAATGCAAATTTTATGCATGACTGACCACGCTTTCACGCTCCAGTGAGCAAAACGCATTTTCAGTTTTTTTGCGATTTCTCAAAATTGATACATGGTATTGGGTTGAAATTCATAACAATGATTAATGGACATGTTCCGGATACGATATGTCAAGGATACGCATGAGTGACCTCGGCGATACGCTCCAGTGAGCAATATAGGATTTTACATTTTCATCTTCTTCTCGAGAACGACACTACTTAGAGACTTGAAATTTACATCACATGCTGATAATAAGTCCCTAATCATAAATTGCAAATTTTATGCATGACTGACCACGCTTTCACGCTCCAGTGAGCAAAACGCGTCTTCAGTTTTTTTGCGATTTCTCAAAATTGAGACATGCTATTGGGTTGAAATTCATAACAATGATAATTGGAAATGTTCCGGATACGATATGTCAAGGATACGCATGAGTGACCTCGGCGATACGCTCCAGTGAGCAATATAGGATTTTACATTTTCATCTTCTTCTCGAGAACGACACTACTGAGAGACTTGAAATTTACATCACATGCAGATAATAAGTCCCCCATCATAAATCGCAAATTTTATGCATGACTGACCACGCTTTCACGCTCCAGTGAGCAAAACGCGTCTTCAGTTTTTTTTACGCGGGAAGCCTGTTAAAGCTGCACGCAGCTCTAGTTATTATTATTATTAGGCTTCCCGCTGCTTGTCAGCAGGGAACTTATTGTATTCCTGTGTTTTATTATTATTATTATTTATTATTATTTATTTTTATTATTTTTTTTTCAAATTGATCCATTGATCCTACAAACTTGAAATTCACCTCAAATGTGCAGAAGTTCTCAGCTAGCAATAAAATGCAAATTTTATGCATGACTGACCACGCTTTCACGCTCCAGTGAGCAAAACGCGTTTTCAGTTTTTTTGCGATTTCTCAAAATTGATACATGCTATTGGGTTGCAATTCATAACAATGATTAATGGATATGTTCCGGATACGATATGTCAAGGATACGCATGAGTGACCTCGGCGATACGCTCCAGTGAGCAATATAGGAATTTACATTTTCATCTTCTTCTCGAGAACGACACTACTTAGAGACTTGAAATTTACATCAAATGCAGATAATGAGTCCCCCATCATAAATTGCAAATTTTATGCATGACTGACCACGCTTTCACGCTCCAGTGAGCAAAACGGGTTTTCAGTTTTTTTGCGATTTGTCAAAATTGATACATGCTATTGGGTTGAAATTCATAACAATGATTGATGGACATGTTCCGGATACGATATGTCAAGGATACGCATGAGTGACCTCGGCGATACGCTCCAGTGAGCAATATTGGATTTTACATTTTCATCTTCTTCTCGAGAACGACACTACTTAGAGACTTGAAATTTACATCACATGCAGATAATAAGTCCCCCATCATAAATTGCAAATTTTATGCATGACTTACCAAGTTTTCAGGCTCCAGTGAGCAAAACGCGTCTTCAGTTTTTTTGCGATTCATCAAAATTGATACATGCTATTGGGTTGAAATTCATAACAATGATTGATGAACATGTTCCGGATACGATATGTCAAGGATACGCTTGAGTGACCTCGGCGATACGCTCCAGTGAGCAATATAGGATTTTACATTTTCATCTTCTTCTCGAGAACGACACTACTTAGAGACTTGAAATTTACATCACATGCGGATAATAAGTCCCCCATCATAAATTGCAAATTTTATGCATGACTGACCACGCTTTCACGCTCCAGTGAGCAAAACGCGTCTTCAGTTTTTTTTACGCGGGAAGCCTGTTAAAGCTGCACGCAGCTCTAGTTATTATTTATTTTTATTTTTTTTTTCAAATTGGTCCTACAAACTTGAAATTCACCTCAATAGTGCAGAAGTTCCCAGCTAGCAATAAAATGCAAATTTTATGCATGACTGACCACGCTTTCACGCTCCAGTGAGCAAAACGCGTCTTCAGTTTTTTGCGATTTCTCTAAATTGATACATGGTATTGGGTTGAAATTCATAACAATGATTAATGGACATGTTCCGGATACGATATGTCAAGGATACGCATGAGTGACCTCGGCGATACGCTACAGTGAGCAATATAGGATTTTACATTTTCATCTTCTTCTCGAGAACGACACTACTTAGAGACTTGAAATTTACATCACATGCAGATAATAAGTCCCCCATCATAAATTGCAAATTTTTTGCATGACTGACCACGCTTTCACGCTCCAGTGCGCAAAACGCGTCTTCAGTTTTTTTTGCGATTTCTCTAAATTGATACATGCTATTGGGTTGAAATTCATAACAATGATTAATAGACATGTTCCGGATACGATATGTCAAGGATACGCATGAGTGACCTCGGCGATACGCTCCAGTGAGCAATATAGGATTTTACATTTTCATCTTCTTCTCGAGAACAACACTACTTAGAGACTTGAAATTTACATCACATGCAGATAATAAGTCCCCCATCATAAATTGCAAATTTTATGCATGACTGACCACGCTTTCACGCTCCAGTGAGCAAAATGCGTCTTCAGTTTTTTTGCGATTTCTCAAAATTGATACATGCTATTGGGTTGAAATTCATACCAATGATTAATGGACATATTCCGGATACGATATGTCAAGGATACGCATGAGTGACCTCGGCGATACGCTCCAGTGGGCAATATAGGATTTTACATTTTCATCTTCTTCTCGAGAACGACACTACTTAGAGACTTGAAATTTACATCACATGCAGATAATAAGTCCCCCATCATAAGTTGCAAATTTTATGCATGACTGACCACGCTTTCACGCTCCAGTGAGCAAAACGCGTCTTCAGTTTTTTTGCGATTTCTCCAAATTGATACATGCTATTGGGTTGAAATTCATAACAATGATTAATGGACATGTTCCGGATACGATATGTCAAGGATACGCATGAGTGACCTCGGCGATACGCTACAGTGAGCAATATAGGATTTTACATTTTTATCTTCTTCTCGAGAACACACTACTTAGAGACTTGAAATTTACATCGCATGCAGATAATAAGTCCCCCATCATAAATTGCAAATTTTATGCATGACTGACCACGCTTTCACGCTCCAGTGAGCAAAACGCGTCTTCAGTTTTTTTTGCGATTTCTCTAAATTGATACATGCTATTGGGTTGAAATTCATACCAATGATTAATGGACATATTCCGGATACGATATGTCAAGGATACGCATGAGTGACCTCGGCGATACGCTCCAGTGGGCAATATAGGATTTTACATTTTCATCTTCTTCTCGAGAACGACACTACTTAGAGACTTGAAATTTACATCACATGCAGATAATAAGTCCCCCATCATAAGTTGCAAATTTTATGCATGACTGACCACGCTTTCACGCTCCAGTGAGCAAAACGCGTCTTCAGTTTTTTTGCGATTTCTCCAAATTGATACATGCTATTGGGTTGAAATTCATAACAATGATTAATGGACATGTTCCGGATACGATATGTCAAGGATACGCATGAGTGACCTCGGCGATACGCTACAGTGAGCAATATAGGATTTTACATTTTTATCTTCTTCTCGAGAACACACTACTTAGAGACTTGAAATTTACATCGCATGCAGATAATAAGTCCCCCATCATAAATTGCAAATTTTATGCATGACTGACCACGCTTTCACGCTCCAGTGAGCAAAACGCGTCTTCAGTTTTTTTTGCGATTTCTCTAAATTGATACATGCTATTGGGTTGAAATTCATAACAATGATTAATAGACATGTTCCGGATACGATATGTCAAGGATACGCATGAGTGACCTCGGCGATACGCTCCAGTGAGCAATATAGGATTTTACATTTTCATCTTCTTCTCGAGAACGACACTACTTAGAGACTTGAAATTTACATCACATGCAGATAATAATTCCACCATCATAAATTGCAAATTTTATGCATGATTGACCACGCTTTCACGCTCCAGTGAGCAAAACGCGTCTTCAGTTTTTTTACGCGGGAAGCCTATTAAAGCTGCACGCAGCTCTAGTTATATTTAATAGTTGGATGAAGTAAGTTCAAGGATCAATCAAAATTTACTTTCTGTTCTCTATTTGGTTCTTCACCTATGAAAAAATTATTTTTATCATATTTTTGCCAAAAATGATGAGTTGTATCTTGATGAACAAAAAGTATCATTCTTCAGTGAATCTCATATGAAAGAAGTTGATATCAATAAATTTTGATCTCATCAAATTTTATGACTTCGATCCATTACAATTCCTAAAAAGTTAGATAATTCTAAAACCAAAAGAGAATTGATGTTTCAGCCATATAATCTACTTTTTAATTTAAGCCCTGCTAGTAGCCATAGTACTCTTATAACCGGAATAAAAAAGAAATTGGTAACTTTTTTCAAACCTGATTTGATCTGGATTTATCATAATAGTTGACATTCAACTCATCTGTCATACACAATCTAGAAAAAATATTTAAATTTTACTTCAAAACCTCTTAATGTTGTTTTGATTAATTTTCAGACCCTTCGAAGATAGAATTTTTTATCCGCTCAACGTTATCAGTTTTTGCATGGAAGGCAAAGATGAGGTCAAAGTCATTGACTTTATCAACAAATTAAAATTTCTTTCAGAGGTAGATTTCTAATTACAATAAATGACTAAAACATAATGATTAACATTAAAATGCTCTGCCAGTCAATTTGAGAAGCTCTTTGAACTTTTGTGCGAATGCGCGCCAATTCCATAGATTTTCTATTAGTGAAAGCACCATACTTGATCAAAATTGAAACAAATCACTTAGGGTACTTCCTTGCTCAAATTAATGGAGATATAGTTTAGTGTGAAGTACCAATAAAGTAGAATTTATGTTGCACTAGAGGGAACTTAAAATCACATTGACTACCAGAAATCGACTCACACCAGATAATAGTGCTGCTGTATGTATAAAGCTTAAAACTACACAATACCAATGAACAATTAGGAGACTTACAAAATAGATGCATCAGCGAATATCATTGATGCAGACAATATTTAAATACCTACATTCCAAAGTCTTTTTCCACATGATAAAAATATTATGTTTTATCCATTGACTGAAAAATGTTGGTCATCCTTGTCCACTAGAATGTTTTTTTCAAATTATTGTGTGATTAATGGAAAAGAGAATGCTAGAATTTTATAGAATTGATTGAATGACTGTTTTTCTACAGAAGCATACTACTGTTGAAAAGCAAGGTTCTACAGAAGACAAAAAAGATCCTGACATTGAAACTTCCACTGATGAAGGTTGGATATATGGTTTACTGCTAATAAATAATATTATAAAAAATTATTTTCACACACCTTGTTTTATCAATTTTTGATGTATATACTTTGATGTATATGTTTTTATGTATATACTTATTACATTTATAGAATATGTAGGCGACAATCAAATAAATGAAGAAGCCAGCAAGGCAACATCTGAGGAAATACCACCACCGAAAACTGAAAACACAGATAATTCTCCAAGCAGCAGTTCCGCTGTTGCAGATGATGAAAATGTCGTGGGTGAAGGTAAAGAAATTTTCTAACATTTCCGTTCAAAAACTGATTCATATTTGATATTTTGCATATTTGTTAATAATAATTGAGACCAGATTACAGGATTATCTACAAGCTTAGGCTTATCATGATATCAAGAATTATCATTTAATCAAGATTTACCAAAACTTACTATGAACATTGCACATTTTTCAGGTGACCAACGACAACAATACTTGCAGTGGATACAAAAAGAAGTACCCAAGTTTGGAGGAATGAAGCAGAAAGTGGAAAATATCATGAAGTTATTCAGTGTTGACATTGGGTGGGCAGCATGAAAATTAAAAAATATATGGCTAACTAAACTAAGACTAAAGATTGAAAAAATATGTTATTTGTAGATTAACATATTCAGACTTATTTCTTGTGAAAGTTACGACATTCGATTCTTTTGAGAAGTATTTTCATAAAGTCTAGTACATTGTAACATTGTTGCATATGACATATTCTTTTGTTGAAATATATTCAAACCCAGTTCTTATTTTCAGAACATACTTTCAGTTTCTTTGATTTGTGTTATAATGCAAGTTTGAAACATAATCACTTTAGGTCACAAGCAACACCTTACATGTAAAAAGCAATCATATTTATAATATTTTTGGATCTTATTCTTTTTTTGCATAGATGCAGGTACCATTAGACAGTGGAAATGAAATTTAAAAGTTTAATTTCAATTATTATTATGAAAATATACAGACATATCCGAAAGTAAAAAATATTTTATACTTCTGGCTTTCAGCTTCAACAACAGTAATTGGTGTGATATACTCAATGACAAAGTAAAATATTTCTCAGATGAGGATCTTGAGGAGCTTGTCGGAAAATTAAAAGTGAGATTTTCATTATCAAAATTTGACATATCTAATTATATTACTGGGATTATTATATTACTGGAAGTGGATTATTTTTGTTTTATTTTTTAGGCGCCTTATATCATGTTTCCTTATCATATCGTGTTTCCTTAAATATTTAAATTACACTTTTCATATATTCATTTATATCATAATTTTATTTGTTCAGGATTTGCAGAAAGAAGCTGAAGAAGTTGACTCTAGAAAACTTGATGATATGTCTAGGTAAGCAATGTAGGAACGTTTGTACATAGATCTCATCTCCAAATCGTAATTTCCTCTGCTCAAAAAAAGTTTTTTTTTTTTAATTTTTATTGCATCACTTTGCATGAAGGTCCCAAATAAGAATCATGTAAAAATACAATGTGCATCCCCTTGATTTTTCAACGCCGCAGGCTAGTTCTCATAAACTTTTATTGGGTAAGGCACTTCACTAACACGTCTGTGAACAGAACTGTAGATTACTCTCATAATTTGATTGAACTGGTAACTTGTCAAAACATAGATGGTAAATCACAGCTTCCATAGCAGTTACTGAAGCAGGTCAATTTAGAGATTACCACTGTTTTCTATTTTTTGAGTCAATCCCATATGACATTTTAAATGCCACTGGAATAATAAACAGAGGGCCATGAGTGCTAAAGGGTTCCGGAAGGGGCCCACAAGGCTTAAAGAAATTTTTACCTCTTTCAGGTTTTGAAACCTCTTTCGGTTCCTTAATCCAATAATATTGGTCTATCGAATGAGGTACTGCTCAAAAAATTAATGACTCGTACCGCAGCTGGCAAGCAAGTTATCATTCCGTTTTTTATCTAATAAACGGCGGTTGCCATGAACGGTGAACGAGACTCAGATTAATTTATTGTTAGACTTCCTCGTAGGTGACGCTGATCAATAACCATTACTGGTTTATCGCATCTCCCTTCACACTGAAATGCATTTTTTTTCTATATCTTTCTCTATTCTGTATGTACAATGTGTATTTTCGGCATGTGTAAAATAAACTACTGATTACTACTGATTTTATCGAAACCAGTTTAGTATGATATAAAGTAATACTACTTGCTGACTTTTCAATCCCACCATGCGGTCGAAAATTTGTGTACGAACAGTAATTTTATAGTTGTGAAGGCAGCATTCAGCACAAATTAATCTCATCACTCGATGCCTTGCTTATCAACATAGGCATGATTGGTTTTTTAAAATTATATTACTAGTATATCTTACATGCTTTTCATATTTATGCAGTTCAGAAGCTTCATCCTCCTCTGTTGACGATCATTATTCAAAAACAGGTTTGTGGTATGAATCGAAATATATTCGTTATTAAAAATTTGCTTTTTTAAGTTTAGCAATCACATTTATACATAGGTTAATGGTAAAGACTTTTATATAGACAAAAAATTTGATCACCAACGCAAATGTATTTCAACTGTTTTCATCTTTTATCCATCAATTTGTTATCAATCTTGTTCAACATTAAGAATATATGTAAAGATAGAATAATCGACTAAAAGGGTGAAATTATTTTTCAGATTTTATTCTCGTTGAATTTCGTGCTCTTACTCAAGAAAAATCGCTGAAAATCAAAACAAACTATCAGAATAATATGACCACAATGCAAAAATCTCAAAAGTTAGTCATCATTTTCATTGCTATATGAAATTTAGATATTTTTTTTTTGGTTTTTCAAGTATCCTGTAGCAAAGAGAAGTCAATAACATGGATTGTTTGGATTGCAAATCATGGTCTCTTGTTCCATGGTCTCAAATGTTTCAGTTGTGCGATGGAAAAGGTTTTTAGTTTACCAATTAAATGTTCCAGATGTATGAATGACGATGGAGGAAACAGTAACCAACTAGAAGTGTGTTATCCAGCCTGTGACAGTGAAAAGTTCAGTAGTCTTCTCTCATCTAATCCCGCACATAACTATCTAAGATAGGATACAAACATATCTACTCACTTATGTTAATCAGCAGCTGATTTTGATACCACATTTTCAAATTACTCTTAATAATTGATTACTCAAATAATTATATATAAAGCGCAATATAATAAAATCACTTACAGTATAACATTTTATTTAGTCACATGATATCTACAGTAGCCAAATCTATTTTTTTTATTAAATTTGTAAGCCGAGAACAGTCTTTGTTTATTATCTGTGAACTAAATCAATTTCTACGATTAGTTCAGAGTCATTTTGAGAGTACTTTATAACAGATATTCATTGAAAAACCTATGAATATAGATATAGGTAATATGAATTTGTTTTCAGGTGTAAGTATTTTTCTTGCAAACTGAAGTTTCCAAAAGATTTCAGAGAAATACAATACAAATATTATAAAGATCAACATGCAGAAATTCTGTTGAACTCGAATTCACCTTCTATATTGAGGCATCATGATCTTTCCAAAGGTTTATAATATGTTACCATATTTGGCTTAGAATGAAAGACTGGCTATCTTATACTTTTTTGTTTGTTGTAGTAAAATGTGCATTTTATGAAAAAAAAATTTAGTTTGTCCCATGTATTCAGAATAATCCCAATTCTGGTGAATGAAAACAAATAAATTATATTGTATATATGTTTAATATTTGTTCATCATTGTTTTTGCAGAAGCAAGAGATTGCGATATCATTTTGTATGATTCTGTAACCTTGAAAAATGCCAAAAACTTTGGAAAGTTGATTGATTTATTGCCACCAGACTTTTATATTGATTCCAACATTGGTGATTTATTGAGCGGTATTTACAATTGGACACATACAATGCTGACTGGGTGGAAATTATTAAATAATGGAAAATTGGCAGTTATTCGACCTGTGGTATGTTCAATTAATTCAGCTATGGAATGTTTTAATCAACCTCAAAGAACATCATCAATCCATGTTGTGAAAGCAATTCTAAATTAAGTTTATTTTGGTATTAGACCTTTAACCTTATGTGCAAATTATCATTTTGTTTTGAATACAGTTCTGAATGATTCCTCTGCTGTCTATGTAAGATGGTAATTGTTCACAGTTTTAATTCAAAATATTCTGAACAAAATTTTCCAGCTGTCAAAATACTTGAAATAGATCTGAAAATAATTGTAGCATTCAACATTTACACTCAAATTTGGATTTATAGTAGCGCATTCATTTTAGATTATTGAAGTGGAAGATGCTCTCACTGAGTGGACAAAAAAACTTCTGAAACGTCGCATTGAAAACTCAATGAATAAGATTTTTGTCGGTCATGCTATTGCGAATGCCTTTTTCAAGGGCAATGTTGTTATCAGCAAAGAAGATTTACTAGAAAACCTATTTCAACTCATGAACACGGAAAAACTCACATCAAATGAATACGAAACACTTTTTGTGTTATTGAAAGAAAATCTTGGGGAGTATTGGTAAAATTATACTTTTGTGCTTTATAGTTAGAATTAAACCACTATACTCAATCTGATTTATAAGCAGACAATTTCAGCTGTGTCATTGTATTTCTTCCTCTGGTAATTTATTGGCGGAAATTAGGATAACACAAATGCAAACATCTACTACAACTATAATCACAACTTGAATGATTGAATTCAACAAACAAAAGTTAAAAATAACATAAAAGGATTTTAACATGGTTGCATTCTAACTAAGAATCATGGTCAATTTGGAGTATTTTTAAATGAGAAAACACTTTACATGGTCGGGTTGTAGAAATGTGTGAAATTTACATAAAGCAAAAACTATTGTGAATTTTGAATTTCTCTTCAACCAGGGATGGTGAAAAAAGTTTTAAATTCACTATGGAAAAATTATTTTGCAACCCCAAGTTGATTCCAACATTTCTCCTTGCACTTCCATTTTATTGGACAATCCAAGCTGACATTGAGGGTCACTCTATTCATGAAAACACTGGTATTGTCTTGCCCTCTGAGAATAATACTATTTGGACAAATAAAGAAAATGCCTGGAAATCTGACAAAAATATGTGCAAGTAAGAGCAAGCAATGTTATTACTGATAATCTTCTGTTTTTTGTTTTGTTATTTTAATTGAACGTTTCTTAAACAAAGATAAAATGAGCTAATCAATAGAACATTGCAGCCACAATTTATACGAAAAATATGGCCACGGGCATTGAATTTTTTTGACAAATGAAATGGGCTATTCCTACCTTCTGGGTTTATATAGTATTTTGTGTTTTGAATATTGAATTATTGCATAATTTTATGTTCATAACTAGGGCTCTCAAAAGGTTGAAACCTTCCATCAACCTCATTGCCAAACGCTATCCCCAAATATGTAATGTCTATATGCTATTCTTGGATGATAAGTCACAATTAGCTTATGTTGAAGAACGTGGAACGCTCGATTGGCATGATATAATTAATGTAAGTAAACTGTAATTGAATTTGTTCATAGATTTTTTTTTTAATCTACCAGATTTCTTTTGTGTAAATATGGAGACTAGACCATACAGATTGCCGAGTAATGCTTAAGATTTTGAACATTATTTTATGCTAGATAGCATCACCTGACATCTGATACATCATCTTTGCATAGGTCTTTTTAGGTTTTACTGTTAAAAATGTGCAAGCAATATTTTGAATATTAAGGAGGATTGAAAGTTTTGAGCATACTTTTACAGAAGTTAATTTGCCTGTTATTCACAATATGGTTTGTGTGTCAGCAATAAAACATCATTTATATGTTTTGCAAGAAATTTCAAAATTGTGATAAACACAACGGAAAAGTGTACAATGAATATTTGGAAAATGAGTTTAAATCCCACGATGACAGCCTTTCATTTTTAATAAACTGGCAATATGCAGTTGGTATTATAGGTGAGTATTGTTTGAAAATTATACAAAAATGAACTTACCGTACCCTACTTGAGATCAAGAACTTAATTTTTACGATGCTGATGTTTTAGGCCTGTTAATGAAGTATGAAATTTGCAAAATTTAACCGAAAATTTGGAGAACGTTATATATAATTATAATCTTCATTCTAATTTTGACTGATACAAACAATATCAATACCTGTTTCTATTCTTTACTTTAATTTAATATCTTTCAAATGATCTGTCCATGATACACGCATTTTGAATTTATAGTTTGGATTTGTTTTTCATTTTTATATTTATCAGAAGCATAAATAATATTGATGCTCAAAACTGCTTGTTCTGTTGTCAAGTTTTGTTACGTTATTTAATTTATTAATTTTTCAAGGTTGTCAGCTCAGTGAAAAAAACAAAAAATTCATTGATGATGGTGAAAATGCGTTCAGAGCTCTTGTTGAAAAATTGAGATCAGGCCAAATAATTTCTCCTGAATTTAGATTGTTAAGGAAAAACGCTAGACAATGCAGAGATTTATATCAGTGTTTCATGGTTAGTACTGAAATTATGGTATTTCATTTTTTGTGTTTTGATGTGTATTTAAAATTTCTATCGAGGCATTTCCATGTACATATTTATTATAGATGGTGAGCGAGAGGGATAATGTTGAGATTTGTAATCTGCGATGAAAAAATTACTAGGTCCACACGTTAGCAACCATACTTGCAATGCTGCAACTGATTCTTATTTGCAAGGCTGCATGCAATCAGCTCAGTACGAATCGCTTTCTCCATCCCTATATATAGTATAGTTAGACTGAATTTTTTTGTAGTTTCATGGTCAATTTTAGCAACTTAGCTATCTATTCCACAAATCTTATCTCATACACTGCTTTCAGGGAAATCCTGTCGATTTTGATGTATTGATTGAAAGCTGGCATAGCGCCAACAAATCATATGTAAACTGTCTATCTTACATTGAAATGTACATACAAGATTGTGAAAAACTATGTAGCGGTGAGAACTGTTTGTATATGGTATTAAAATATTGGGGGGTAAAGCATTTTATTGAATAAACATAAAAATGCTATACATAACAGTATTAACATACAATATGATTTCAGTAATTGGAAACAGTCATTATTTGAATACCAAAAATAAGATGGTAATTCATGTTTTGGGCGCCTTAGAAACACTATGCTAATCTTATATCTTTAAATAAATATTAGATAGGGATTTTAATTCATGAGTACAATCAAGATTCATTTTCCAAAATATCCAATGATGCTTCATTTAGTAGGCGCTACTTCCAGCATATGCTCTGACAATGCTCACTCAATTGTTTGTATCCAGCTTTAACCTAGAGTTTACTGAAATTTTAACACATTTTGATAATAATAGAATAGGATTTACATGTTTATCCCGGGGAAAGAAAAGTTGAAAAGGCAGCTTGATCATATGGCAAAACATGATCCAGCAATCCAGCCGTAACCGACCAGAGTAAAATAAAGCTGACTAAGAGTTCAATACTGTAGAATTGTTGAGAAATATTAACATTAGATTTTTTTTAATTCATACTCCAGAAGAAATTGATGTTGAGTTAGAAGACTTGAAAGAATTGCTTTCTGAAGAAACAGATGACTCTATGACCTTGAATGAGATGGCAGAGAAACGGAAGTTGAGAACTTGTATGCATGAATATCTGGATGATATTGAAAGAACAGGAAAATTTAAAGTAATAAAATAGTTAAAGTGATTTATTAATTAAATTTTAATAACATCTGTATATATATGTTATAAAAAAGTGATATATAGGTGATGAAAAAATTAAGGACTTTTATATCTTATTCAAGATTGCTTTTATATTAACAAGGCTTATTTTGGCAGAATTGCACATGGTTTACCTTTATATGGGAATTGATAGCAAATGAGAAAATGAATCATTTGAAGAGTCAATATCAAGGCGTAACGATGAAAATATCTTGGCAAAAAATTGCAGAAGAAATTTTGAGACCTGCAGAAGATAGATTAAGTTTGGTTGCAAAACAAATCAGTGAAGGTGCAAAGTTATTTAATTGTCATAAAACATGATGTTTGAAGCTGTTAAAGTTAGATATAACTAATATGAGTCATAACTGATTGTCCTATGAGAATTTACAGCTTCAAATCTTGTAATAGGTGCTTCACTCTACTTTTTGTTAATGAAAAATGCTATTATAATAAAAGCTCTTTAAGATTTCCTTTATCACCAATGGCACAGATTCTAAAACTTTAGCTACCCAGTTTGTCAGCACTAGGGTTACCTGTTAGATCTTCTAATTTGTTCTTCGCTTTCTATAGCTATAACTTTACAGTTAGATACAGTTCTGTTCATCCTAATGGAAATAATTATTTTTACATTGTTTATGTGGTAAGCGCAGAAAATTTAACTTTTCATCATGTCGGAAGATAGTGCTCTACCACCTCATAACCTGGCTTCATTATTTATTCTTGCAAATTGTGAATATATTATACTGTATTAGGTTGAACTGTCTGTGACTCTTGATTATTGTATAAAATTTATATATACAATTTAGGTACAATAATTCTGAAAGAAATACCATACCTTCTGGGAGACATATCAGAAAATTTTCTTGCAAAGGATTTGGAAATTCTCAGTAGTGTTGAGAGTAAGTTAGAATAAAGTAATGGTAATTTTCTATCACTCAGTGCTAATTATCTTGCAAAAAAAAGTTTAATGTTGGTATTCTATATAGTGGGGTGACATTATAAATTCAGATTTTTGGAATGTAAATCACATTTTACATTATAGAATTTTCAAAAATTCATGTCATTTCATTCATGTCATTTCATTTAGTCTTTGTCAATTATTGTAAAATTGCTTCAATATTAATTTGTTTGATTGAATATTTTCTGATAATGAATAACTATGTCTGTTTCTGTCTCAAACAAATGTTAGAAATATAATTGTGAACTACAGTTGTTTATTGAACATATTACCACATTTCGTAATCAGGGTTACAATAATTTAATGATTTACTTTTTTTACAGAGATAAATGACATATATGAAGCTGAAAGACAGTTGAAGGACTATTTGAGCCTGATGAAATCGTTGTCAGCTATTCATCTTTTAAATCAAATAAAGAAAGAATTGGAACTGGAAGGGAATTTTTCTTCACTTTCAGAAATAAATGTAAGTTTTGTCGTTTCATGATTTGTCAATCAGCTCACCTTGGATGTGGTGAATTATGGAAATTGAATGCCCATACAATGATTACTTCACTCATTCAAATGGTGGCACTCCAGAAGTGTGTGTACCAATATAGAGGTAACTAATTTGCCTACATTACATCAGGTTGTGAAAGGGACTGAAGCCTATGGGCAGGGTGTATATTCACTTGGCTAACACAGACAGTTCACGAACTCATAATAGAACTAAATTAAGGAAAATCGGAACAGAATTATGGCCTAAACGTAACCTGGTAAACACACTACAGGAGAACCCAAACAGTTAACTTGTTTTAAGTAGTTAAAACTTTTTCATGCTGCCACTTTCTAAGTATATATATAGTTATATATTGAAGTTTTCCTCTTGGTGCGTAGGAAATATTCTTCTTCGATTTTTGTTAAATACACCAAGATGTTTAAATTTAACTTAATTACAAAAATAGCAATTGAACTCTGTAACAACAACTAGAGTAAATTTTATAGGAAAGTTTGCTTGAAGTTGACTTGAGGAATATGGAAAAGCTGCCAGACATTTGCAAGGGATTTTCTCACAATGATTCTGTTGTAATGGAGGCTTTCTTGTCTCAAAAGGAACTGATAAAATGGATGTTGGAAAAATTTAAAAGTATGATAAATTATTGTATTGTATATATATATATAAATTGATATTCTCACTGTATAATTTTACTGTGTTATCCAGCTTACTTTCCTTCTTGACTGGCAAAGCTTTGATAGAATATAGGATTTTGATAGGAAGTTATTTTTCAAATTTATCGTGGGTGAAGTGAAGATAGCATGAATTCAAAATATAAATCATTGTCCCTCTTCCAGTCATCAACGCAGGCCGACTATGACATTATCCCATGAAAAAAGTTAAACTACTCTGAGCAAGATTCCATTTGAAATCCGTTTTCATCATTCTTTCCCATTTTTTTGAAATAAAAAAAATTGTTGTCATATAATGCAGTGTTGCCATGCCGAGTATTTCTCTATTGCGTGTCAGTGGCCATCTTCAGAATCAATTAATCTGTTTAGTTTTCTGATTAATAAATTAAAATTTGGGATAGAACTTGACTTTAGTTGTTTACGAGAAACAACCCAAATGTTGTTATATTATATTCAAAGAATCGCAGGATATCAGAACCTTTCGCGATTTGGCTAGGACGAAAGTTGGAGATGAGCAGATCGAGCTGGACAGAATATCCGTCATACATTCTGCTTTCCAAGCGTTTTCACCACTTCTGCTTGACTTAAATAAAATAAATGAAGCCAATATCCTGAAATCCACTTATTCGCAAGTACAATCAGCATATGAAAATGACAACTCTATTTTGAAGAACTGGGTACTTTTTCCTCTCTTTATAATTCTACAGGGTGTCTCAAAAGTAAGTATACACTATTAATTTTGATTTGCTTTTCAGGTTCTCATCATAGAGCGTTCATTTCTCCAGAAAACATAGTATGGACAACTAGTAAAATTTAGGTATTTTGGTGACGGCGGTGTGGCTCATCGTTCTAAGCGATAGGAATACGCTGGCCACCGCACCTCTAATTACTCTGCATGGGTTCGCAGGTTCTAAACCCATGCGGGATGGTTATGTGTGAGAGGATTGCTGGACCCCTCTTCTCGTAGGGTGGTTCACGCAACCTCTGGACGATTACGGCTTCCTCCACCATCAAGTCCATGTTTCCGAAGAACAAATAACTAACTAATCCCATACCCGACTTGGAATGGTAACCAGACGAGAGGCCGTGGTTCGCCATATGGTTAAGCCATGGGATAAATATGTAAATCTTATATTATTGTTTGCATTTTTCGTCAACCCACAGTATGACAAGAGATTAACCCAAAAAATGAGGATCAAATTTGCTGATTGGCAAAAAGCATGTAAATCAGTACGCGTAAACTTAGCACCTCTTTAACAGAGAATTTGAATTTGAACTCAGCTTCTAATGTTTTCCTCCAAGCTTCCGCTCCCTGGTATTCCTGATCTTTGTGCATCAACTACAGATCCAGTTTCCATGAATTTTTGAAAATTGCGTGATTTTTTGTCGTAAAAGTGCCGAATGCCATACTGTTTTATATCCTTCTTGCCAAACAGCAATTTTTCACCTCATTTCTCAGGGTAATCTTCTTGTCATTTTGTGGGTTGTTAGAGAAATGCAAACAATACCTCAATTTTATTACTCATCCATACTATGTTTCCTGAAAAAATGAATGCTCTATGATGAGTACCTGAAAAGCAAATCAAAGTTAAAAGTATATACTCACTTTTGAAACACCCTGTATATTAATGTGACACTAGCTACAGCTGTTTTGTGAGCAACAAAATATAATTTGTGTGTTTGTCATAAAATTGAAAAAGTTTTATGATGAACCTTCTTTTCCAGAACTACTTTACAAACTCTTTTTGGAATATTTTAACACCTTACTGACACAAATTTGTTGTGATATATTACTATTAACTTTTTAATTATAAGTCGAATTAAAAAATATTTTCTTCTCTGATATTTATTTTTCTTGTTATATTAAAATGTTTCATAAATGTGTGTAAAATAAATTTATTTTTCTTCATATTTACAGAGGTATGCCGGAATACATTTGTCGTGGATATCTGACATTTATGACATTATTGGATCATCAGGGAAGCATGCAATGGAGGTTGTGCAGGAAATAAATGACAATGGAATGTATATATTACAAATTGAAAAAGAAAGAGCAATGAATTTAAACAGCTGTATAGTCCTAAAAATGGATAATAAAAGTATGACGTTTTAGAAGTTTATATTTGAAAAGAGAGAGAGAGGGAGATTTATTAATTTGTCAACCAAAAAAATTGCAGTCATCAATACAGTAAAAAAGTAGCAACAATAAAATTGTTTTGGTATGGACAGGAGGGAGCGATACGACCATGCGGTCATCGAGGTCAACTCCCACCTATTTCGCTTATATGAATAAGATTTAAATTTTAAGATGACTCAATGAAAAAGTTAGACCAGTAATATTTTTACAAACTTTAGGAACAGTTAACTTTAGAAAAGTTAAGAGTATGATACTTTTATAAAAATGTTGGACAAAAAAACAAGGTAAATATGTAAAAAAGGATTAACCAGGTTATGTAAATTTGTTATATACTTAGATTCAGTTTAACCATCTTAATTTCTATGCAGAAAAAAGTTTTGCTGAATTGCGAGATTTGCAATCTCGTTTGACATTAATCTCTGGTGAGAAAGAAGATGTAGAGCAAGTTACAATATTTGTAAATTTACTGACAGCTGTGGAATCCTTGGCACTTTCATGCATACAATTATCAGAATTAGGATGCCTCCTTTTTGCCAATTTCCGAGTTACAATTTCTAAAAGGTTAAATACTTCATTTTAGTTTTTGTGAGCAATTTAAGTGGATGTGAAAAAAATTCAAGGTAAATATATACATGCCAAAGACAGTAATGCATTCTTCATCAACATCAATAGGATCAGCTTGGAATTGGTCCCTCCACATAATTATATTGGTTTAAATATAGAGAACCAATTGTATTGGTATGTTCCAAGTAAATTCATGGAAAACTCTTTTGATATTTTTCCCAATTTCAATAGTATTATCTGCTTCCCAGAAATTTCATTTGTCTAATAATTAAAGGTTTGTGAACTAACAATTGTGTTATGGTTATCAATACAGGAACTTCCCGAGTTTCCATTCAAAAAAATTTAAGTGAATTAACTCTTTCGGAATTTATTTTCGCACTGTGCTCAAAAAACTAAAACGTAGTGCAATACTATAGTGATTATCCGTATTTCGTAATGCTTATTTATACAAGTATTGTAGTGATGTAAATGTTTAATAACTATATGATTATGTGTATTACTGGCTTGACGTTTGTAATTTGTATATTCACAAAATGCATTTCAGAAATAAAAAAAAAATTCCTCAACGTCAATTCATTAACCTTTGGTATCGCTAAGGTATTTATTTTGTTTCGTTGTATATTCCTTCAAGATTATAAGATTTGTGCTGCTTTTCTGCTCAAAAATCAAGTCATGAAGACACATTTAAAAATAAACTTAAGAAGGAAAATAATTTAAAAATACTGAAGAATTCTGCAATGGGCATCCTCAAAATTATTGTTATATCCTTACTTGTAAAGGGTATATTCAATGGATTTATTGAAGACAAATAATTGAACTGATTTTGATGTAATTTGTATTTAAATATTTAGAAAAGTCGATGAAGAAAATCCAGAACGTATTGAGTCAACTTTCACTATAACAATATCTTTGAATAAAGATACCAATCCGATAACCGGAGTGGGTTCCTTGGGCACTATAGATGATATCATTGTTTCAATGCGTGAAATCTTAGAAAGGTATGTTCATTTTGCTGGTCAATATTGTAATATCTCAATGATTACTATTAAAAAATATTAACAATATATTGTTTAATAATTACTGATTAGTTCCAACAGTTCCATTATAAATCTTTTTTACATTCATCAAACAATTAATCTTGATCATACCCTGCCTAAATGTACTCTGTAATTTAATCAGTGGTCATTGGTGAAGAGTCTTTCATTTTCTAGTTCTTTCATGTTCAAAATGAATGATATGCCCCAGGATTTTAGTTATTTCATAGATGTAGCCTCATTTTAAAAAAAATTTTTGAAGCACTGCTCTATTAGACCAAATATTCGTAAACTCGATTTAATATTTGTTAGTTCATTTTTGCAATATCATTTAGATGGAAAGATCATCTTGAGAAAACACTTCTACAATATTACTTCCTAAATGAATTCAGCATCACCCAGTTGACATACTTGTGTGAAGCTCTTGGACAGAAAACGTTAAGCAATATTTCGGATAAAACAAAAATGCTTCTTGCCCAAATTTCTCAAGATACAACCAAAACGAACATTAAGAAGGCTTTAGAAAAGTCGACTGAAGTGGCAGATATGGAAGAGGACAGAGATAAAACAAATAGGACAGGTAAAGACTTATAGTCGAATTGGATATTCATAAACATACTTCAAATTCGGAATGCTTTCTCAGAGCAAAGTCGTTTCTATCTGATAAGGAAAATATAACTGGTGGTACATCTATTAGCAACATTTAAGGTGCATGGAACCCGAAAGCTTGCATGAAATATTGTACAATGAGCTTGAGATATTTGCATGATACCATGTCTCTCTGTACGTTAAAACAAAAAGTGCATGATCTGCATTAACATTTTTGTAAGGCAAAGTTCTGGGCTTTTTAGTTGCACATTTTTTTTAATTACAGTTTCATTTTAATATTGTAAATTCCACATTAATCTGTTTTGTTTTTCCCCAGATTCACAAAATGTTGACGAAATTGACAACAAGAGACATGCTGTACGAGATCTTTGTCTTAAAAGAAATATTCCTGAAAAATTAGCACGAGCTGCTGTGGCAGCTAATGGAAATGATGTTAATAAGTGTGTGAGATGGACTATACTCAACAAAACTAAACATGAGCTTGTTGAAAAGTTTTATCAAGAGTTTCAACAAAAACTTGGTAATGAAATATAACCAAATATTCTTTATCTTTGTACTGATTTCAATTATATTCAATTCAATTTGTTTATTCAATTCGTTTTATTCAATTCAATGGTCAAATTTTGAGACACAAAATTACTATTTTGCCCATGTAAACTTGAAACTAGGTAACACTAGATTGAGGGTATTACCGGTAGATATTTGAATTATCAATGTATCACTTATTGTCAAACTGCTTGAAAAAATGATCTAATTGTTTACAGTATAGCAGTATTTATGATTATCAAGGAAGAATTTATAGATTTGAATCAAGAATTCTGTTTCTACAAGTAAAGTGACTTGATGAACTTTTGTTAGCATATATGTAGTTGCATATAGATATGTTTGATTCAAGTATATTTTATATATTTTTTTATTTGAGTCAAATAATTTTTTCACAGAATGGGCATACACTCAGAAAAAGTTGGAGCCCAATTATGAAGTTTTATCGGATCGAGACTCTAAAACTTTAGAACAAGTTTTGAAAAGGTTGCAATTGGTGCAAAAAACTGAAGATGGTCTTAGCATATCTATTCGCACATTGTATGAAGCGTTCATTGCACAAACTACGGTATATGAACTTTATATCAGATATATTGATATATTCTCCAATAATTCTAATGTAGTTAAATAATAAACTACTTTATGTTTCAGTTCTTATCACTAGAAGGCTTGCTGAGTTTGAAACATCTTGGGAAATTTTTGTACCTATTAGCAAAAACCCAGAGTCCAGACAGAATTCCAAACCGAAAACTGGTGGCTCCATGTTTGCAAGGAAAAGTAAATGTGGTTATACGCGATGAACATGAAATTCTTCTTACAATAATTTCGCTATACGCAGCGCAACGGGAGGAATGTCTGCCTACAACTTCCGAAATAATGATTTGTCATGAAAAAACCTCTATTGCTGAGTTGACAAGATTCTTCAAGAGGGTGTTGTGCAAGTGTGATATCAATGGTATATTTATATTCTCATTTGAATCATGAGTATTTATTAATAAATTTTCATCGATGAAAAAAGGTTGTGTCATATTATTGTATTAATGAGTTTAATTTGTGTTCACAGGTTCACCAATTTTCTGTCTTGCTGCAACTCAAAAGCTTCCACATAATGTTTCAGAAATGGCGGGAAATATATTTCATGAATTACTGAAAAGGGATAAGACTGAGGAATATCAGCTTGTAATCATTTCTTGTGACCGCAGACATTATCTGTCTAACTGTTTTGAGCAGGTAAAACAAAGTCAAAAAATGTAGTCAGTTGTGAATTGCTATTTGCTACTTGTTTTTATAATTTGAAGAAATCTTATGAAATTTATTAACACTGAGGGATGAATTTTTGTTTTGTCCAGGATCACACTCCAGTATTTTCTCGTTTAACTGACCAACAAATTTCTGATTACCTATGTGACAAATTGAAATCTGATATTCCGTGTGAAACCAGTTCTGAGATTGTCAGAGTTGTTATGTCCGACCGATCTGGCCTTGGTTAGTACACATTAAATTTATAACATTTTATTTGCTGTACCGATCCTTGACTGTTGGGGTATGACATGTTTTATTTAATTTGATTTAATATTATTATTTCATATAATTTCCTTATTAGTAGAAAAATATATTATTATTTTGAGGATTTCAATCCAAGTCATGATCCATAGATATTAAGTAATGTGAATTAATCAATTATTACTTCAAGTATTAAAAGATAATTATAACACTTTCATTTTTCATAAATTTGTACAAATAAAGTAGCTGTTTTATATACAAATAACTAATATTTTTTAAATTATGGCATAGGCAAATCATTGCATATACATGACTTGCAAGAAAGTATGACACAAGAAATGGAAAGAAAGGGACAAAAATTAAATGTTACTACCATTCGATACATGGAAAAGCTTCTTGATGTTGAATACTTCACTGCAAGATTCATTGATGGAAAGGCTGCAAATGACGAATTTCATTTTATACATCTTGATTTAACGCCAGCTGTGAGTGGATTTTAATTACCGTAATATGACTGTTTGTTGAGTTGGACCATTTTATATATATTTACATGTATGGTAATTATTTCTTCATTATTACCTTAATTTTTCTCGATGACAACTACACCAATGTAATTCGGCATATTATCGTCTTAGGCTATTAAATTTAATAAATAATTCGGCTTAGGCTATTAAATTTAATAAATAAATTTATTTCTAGGTTAAAGAGGGCCTTCTACAATTTGTATTTAATCTCTTTATATTGGGATGCATTGAAGATAACAAAGGAAATATTTGGAGAAGAAACAAACGTCATTTTTACGCTGTTGAAGTCACAGATTTTAACGAGGTATTCAACTTAATGATTGCAGAATGGATAACCTGAACTATTCAAATTTTTGATGATTATTAAAGTTTTTATAGCCAATTTCTGACATTGTGTGACGTAACACTGTAATGCCCAAACTACATGGACTTTCAAGGATACTGCATCTTACAATCAACACTTATCTGTTAGATATTTACAACGTATTTTTACAATACCACTACTTTGTTGCAGTTTACTTTTGAGTCTACTTTTTTACAGTTTTTATTTATATCTATCAAGTTCTGTTTTATCAGGAATTATCTTCAATCAACCAGTTTTGGGGAATTTTGCCTAACGTGAGATGCCTGTCTCCATGTGATATCCAAAAAGGTGCAAATCAGAGAATAATGATGAATCATGCTAAGCTGGAATCTGAAATTTTCCAGCGACCTGCTCAGTATCTTCTCAAATATGACAATAATCCTGACTCATTGGATGATTTTAGATTTGATCCTGCAAGCCCAAAAGTTGATGAACGCACATGTCTCAACATATTGTTAAAGCATTGCTCAATTGATAATCCATCCTGGGCGCAAGTACAACACTTTGCTGCATTTTTAGACCTCCAGTTCAGAAATTGTGAGAATTCTATTTTTTGTATGAAACATGTATCAGATTTAGATGGTCTCAAACTCTTTGCAGTAAAGTTTATGATACTTATGTCCCAAGATTTTTCAACGCCGTCACTTATAATGGCTGACACTAGTAAAAAAGATGCAGAAATTTTCCAGCAACATAAGTTACGTCGAAAGTGGGAAGAACAGTCCCATCCTTTTGTTTTCTTTAATGATGACCAAGCATCTATGACATTTATTGATGTGAATATCAACAATATTGGGGATCTTGTGGATCAGAAAGGTGATGTTTTGGAAAAAGCTATAATTCCTTACAAATATATCGAGTTAATTGAAAAGTTGAAAAAACAAGGTGTTCTGTTGAATGATCAATTTGAAAATCTTACAAGAAAAGAAAAACTCAAAGAAATATGCAAGGTGATGGGTGTACCTGTCACAGACTGCTCAATATCAAATAAATTACTGAAATTTGTCAAAACGATCCGTTCTGATGGAAAAGCAAAAATTGGTCCAGATTATGTTGAAGTTGTATCTCAGCAACATTTGCCACTATTATATCATTTAAAAAGAAACATACTTTTGGGAAGTAAGTTTGAAGAAATTGAAAATGTATTGGGAATAATTGCAGAAAAATCCGGGATTGAATTTAGAAAAACTGAAGTGCCTGATCCAGATCCAACTTATGAGTTAACAACAAATAATGTTCTCAAGATGTTGGCCATTTACATGAGATTTCTTTGCAATATTCCTGTAATTATTATGGGAGAAACTGGATGTGGAAAAACAAGGATGATAAAGTTTATGAGTGAACTTAAACGTGGAACATTGAAAGTTCAGAATCTTATGACACTTCGTGTACATGGTGGAACGAGTGTTTCAGATGTCCATAAACACATTGAAAGGGCTGAAAGAAGAGCTGGAGATAATTTTCAAAATCATAAATTGAAATCTATACTATTTTTTGATGAAGCAAACACAACTGAAGCTATCTACGCAATAAAAGAAGCTTTGTGTGACTTTGAAAAAAAATATAGTTTTGGTAAACTTCTCCAGATTGTTGCAGCCTGTAATCCTTACAAAAAATTAACTGATGATTCAATCAAAAATTTAAACCAAGCAGGCTTAGGATATAATGTGCAAAATGCTCAGGAACATCTTGGCTCTATTCCTATGCGATATCTTGTTTATCGTGTTGTTCCTATCCCACCAAGCATGCAACCATTTATTTGGGATTTTGGACAACTTCAGGGTGAGGAAGAAAAAAAGTATATTAACCAATTAGTAATGAAGCTTGACAAAGACCTCCCAGAAGCATTGCAAGATAGCTTCTTGACTAAAATGACAGAAGTACTATATCTTATTCAAGCATACATGCGGAAACAAATGGATGAATGCAAGTATGTGAGCCTCAGAGATGTGGAGAGATGTATGACTGCTTACAAATGGTTTTACACAAATATGAGTTGGCTGATGCCTGGAATTCAAAGTTCAGGAGATGAAGAACATAAAGCCACATTGGTACTCCTTCAGGTTATTGGTTTCTGTTACCATGTTTCGCTAGAAAATAGAACAAATTTCAGAAAAGAACTTTCCACGATATTTAATCATCTTTTTGGTTTTAGAAATTTGACTGAAGACAAAATATTATCCAAGTTCACTGCTTGCCAATCAATTATTGTGGATGGAATGAAAGTTGGAAAAAACATTTCAAAAAATTCAGCATTAAAGGAAAATATATTTGTCATGGCATTGTGTGCAGAAATGAAAATTCCTTTGTTTTTGATCGGAAAGCCAGGAAGCTCAAAGTCTCTGGCGAAGACAATAATTTCTGACAACATGCATGGCGCAAACTCTGAATCTAGCATTTGTAAAAAATTTAAAGAAGTTGAAATTTCTACATTTCAATGCAGTGCTCTCACCAGAGCAGAAGAAATAGAAGGTATTTTTTCCCAAAGCAATCGGGTTCAATCAGGTCACAGAAACTATGAAAAATATGTTGCCGTAGTGGTACTCGATGAGATTGGTTTGGCTGAAGATTCATCCCATATGCCTCTCAAAGTTCTACATTCTTTGCTTGAAACGGGAACAGTTGTGGATGACCTATTGGAAACTAAAAATAATCCTTCAAAAAGGATTGGATTTGTTGGAATCTCGAATTGGTCACTTGATCCAGCAAAAATGAATCGTGGAATTTTTGTGTGCAGAGGGAAACCCGACAAAGAAGAGCTCATGAAAACAACAGAGGGAATATTTGATGACTGTCCACAGTATGTTAAAAATACCATTCATCCTGTTATAAAAGCTCTGATCAATGCATATTTAAAAGTGTATGAAACAGATACCAGAGAATATTTTGGTCTTAGGGACTTGTATAGTCTAATGAAGATGGTAAAACACCTTGGAATATATTGTTTTGAGAATCGTCAAGACCTTAAAATGAATGATGTCATGAATGCTGTCTACAGAAATTTCAGTGGTGGCCAAAGATCTTGCATATCAGATTTTGAAAAAGAACTAAAAGAAGGAAATATATTTTTTGACTTTAATTTTGCCGAGCCGAGCATCTATGAACTTCTGGAAGAAAATTTGAAAACTGAAAATCGATATTTGCTATTGTTGACCAAACAACATCCAGCTTGTGATCTTTTAAACGTCGCCATTCCAGGGAATGACCATGAAAATAGACTACAAGTAATTTTTGGATCTGCATTTCCTGGTGACAAGAATTATGCAGCTCTTTGTAGAAATGTAAACAAGATCAAAGCATGTATGGAGACCGCATGTACTGCTGTGATAATAAACTTGGATGAAATTCACGAATCACTATACGATGCCTTGAACCAACATTATGTGACTTTATCAAATTACAAGTATGTCAATCTTGGTTTTGGATCTTCAGAGCATCGAGTACAATGCAGGGTTCATGATGATTTTCGAATGATTTTTTTGGAAGAAAAAGATCATGTTTACAATCATTATCCAATACCACTTGTCAATCGACTTGAAAAACATCATTTCACCTCGGAAAGATTGCTGTCTGAAGAACAGCGTAAAAAAGCGTCATCTTTAGAGGATTGGGCCAGAAAGTTTTGTGTTTCTCATAACTCTGAAAATTTTTATTTATTTGACACTTTTATTGGATATAATTCAGACACTGGAAGCTCTATTGTTCTTGTATCTGATGCTATAAAAGCAGCAGATGTAGATTTGTCACTCGAAACAGTTCCGAAGGATCCTCTCGAACCATACAAACACAGAATGCTTTTATCCGCGACTATTGACGGTGTGTTTAGACTTTACAGAACAAGCATCACAAAAGAAGCAGATGATATCAGAGAAAATCACTTGAAGAACCAGCAACATGATACGCTTCTTCAATTTCTCGATACTCAATGTCAACATAAAAAAGGTATCTCACTATTTGAAGTGACAACATTTTCTGACCTTTTGCTGGAAAAAGACAGAAAGATTCTGGAAGAGTTTTTGCCTATAGTTGAAAACAGCATTATGGTTTTATCAATCCACCAATTTGATACTATTTTACAGTATTCAAACCGACTTGATGATTTTTTTAGGGAACGAAAATTTCTAAAGTCATACAATGAAAATACCCGCATATTGCTAATTCAATGTGTATCGGCCCACAATAATCGTGAGCTGATTGCCTGCGCTCATCATTGCCTCATGAATAAACTGAGGCATTATCAAATAGAGCAAAGCAATGTTCAGCGGTTGATAATAGCCTTCCTTTTATCAACGACCCGAAAATGCAATTCTAATGGATCAGATGGAAATGCATTCTCTTTACAGCATACAACAACAGGAAAAATTGTATATGTTGATGAAATGAGGCCATCTACAAGATATTTTGGTCATGTGAATGAGTACTTCAACAAGTCTCTTCCTTCCATTTTTCAACAAGCACTGCATGAGCTACCTGACTCCGATACTTCTGCTGAACATGATCAAACCTCTTTTGACATTTCAATATTGTTGAGAGCAAGTCTATGTGAAGCTATTTGCAAAGTAGAATCTCAAGCAACCTCAAGAAATGAGGAATTAATCAAAATTTTAATGAAGCTTTTCAAAAGAAAGCAGTTCTTCATTTTGTTATGGAAAAAAATGGTGTCCACTCTTGAAGAGCGAGAGGAGGAACTGAAATCTCTTTATGGTGATAAACTGGAAAAGTCATGGATGGTTGATCAAGCTTGTTCAACTAAAAATTTGCTGGAGGGAGGTAGTTTTCGTAAAACAATATGGATTTTCATGAAAAGCATAGTGTCAAAATTACTTGCTTGCATCACTAGCATTGCTGATGTGAATTCAAATTTTGATATGTTATTGCAAGATGGTTCAGAAGAATGGCAAACTGATCTGTGGATGAATATTTTCAGTGGTATCTCTATTTCATGGAAAGACGTCAAACATAAAGAAAAATTCAATACAGCCAGCGACTTGCAGTTTGGTAAAGGCAGGCTTCATATCCCATTCAGCTATTTATTTCTCAAAGAACTTGAGCACAGATTTAATATATTTGATGAACATCGATTTGTTGCTTCTCTTGGGGATTGGTGTCATATGGCTCATCTCCAAACAGCATATAAATCATTTGGACATAAGTTTTTATCATTATTCATTCAAGACATCATCACGATGGTGTATGTCCCCGGGAGTCAGTTGGAAAAAGAATCATTTGCAGTAGAACATGTTGTTGAAATTTTGGCAAATAAATTTTCGCATACCAAAACAAAACCACTTGAAAATAGTATCTTTATGGTATTGTACATAAGGTCCTTTCTACCGTATTTTTCTGCAATTTTCAAGATATGGCCTGAACTTATTGCCAATTCAAAACAATGGGTTGAACAGGAGCACTCAATTGAAACAGTTTTGCAATATGCATTCAAAGATGTTTGTGCAGTGCTGTATGGAAAATCTAATGAAATAAGCAGAGTTGATTTATGCGTAGCATGGGTAAATGAAGTTTATTTTGCAAAAAAGATATTCAGCTCATTTCTTGATGAAAGGGAATTTAAAAGTAGTCTATGGAGAGGGGTGTCCTTATTGTATTTATTTTTGACACAGTTGATGCCAAACAACCCAACAAGCGAAATGGATTATAATTATCTTGAAGTGATATCGAAAGAAGCTGAAGTTTTGGCACCAGTTATTCTTGATATTGAAAACGTAGACGGTGTGACTCTTATGTGTAGCGTCTTGAGTAATTGCTATGAGGATGTAAGGCTCAAAATACTTCTTTCATGGAGTGATATTCAGTGCCCGATCTGCAGTGGACGAATCCATGATCCAGTTAAGCTTGACTGTGATGACAACCACTATATTTGTGGAAATTGTTTCGAGACAAGTGAATCTACAACTTGTAATCGATGTCCACAGAATGTCTCGCAAACTGGGGAAGAGACTTCCCGCTCTGAACTTATTTTAACAGAAGAGCAAGACCAAGAAATAGAGGAATTCAAATTAAAATGCACAAGTTTTTTCCTCAATTATGTGATGAACTATATGATATTTGATGATAAATCAGTTCTGACAGAAGTTTCAGATTTGTTGTTCAATGAGATATTTTTGCCACAGCAAGGAAATTTAGTGAAAACTGCATTGGATTTCAATGTAATGATGAAGAGTCTCATTATGAAGCTATTAATGAAAATAAATGGAGACGATGTAGTGAGAAAAGTTGATCAATACTTATCATCTTGTTCACCTGAAAATAAAAAGTTACCAATCCTATATATTTTGAAATATTTTGAAGACATACAAACGAACTGTCCTACTATTGAAGTGATGGAAAGATGTGTCTCAGAAATTAAAACCATGGAAATCATTAACATGCAAATGCTGGAAAAAGTGGCAATGCTTCGAGTTGGTTTGAATAGGATGGCCCTTCAATTGCAAAATGTGAGAATGGGTAAAATGGAAGAAAGAGAAGTTAGTGAAATATTAACGTTCCTGAGCAATGAAGGCATGAGAAATTTCAGAGAATATTTCACAAAAGTTGGCTGCTCAATTTTCGGTTCTAAATGGTTGAAGGAGCAGCTAAATAAACAATATTCCTCATTAATATTTCCAAGTGATTTCCTGCATTCCCTAGATGTAACAGACTACTGGAAATTTTTGGGTGATAAATATTGTCCACCAAGTATCCAAAATTTAAAAGGAATATTTTTGAAGCTTATGGATTTTGAGCGTCTTGATGATATTGCTCCGATTTTGTCATGTATGATGCTGACATTGCATGACGATCAGATGAAGCGTATGGTTAATAAACAACTCAAAAGTTTACCGCAAGATTTAGATTTTTTTAAAAAACAATTGATGGTTGTACTCAGAATATTTCATTCTCCATCTTACCAAGATAATGTATCATTGTTCCAATTGATGGTCTTGGTCGTAATTGCAGTTTCCAAGCAAAAGTACTTGTTGGATTCTTTCAAGATGCTAATCCAAGATACAGATTCAGTGAAAAATCTCTATCTGCCATCAATGCCAGAATCAATGTTTTTTTCTCTTCCCGCTCAACTAAAAACCATTGGAAGAAATCCTTATGGACATATGGTACATGGTTTGCACACATGTCCTAATGGCCATATCTATTTTATCGGAGAATGTACTAATCCTACAGAAGAAGCCAAGTGTATTGATTGTGGCGAAACTATTGGAGGTGTTGGAGAAAAACTTAGTTCACGAAATGAAAGATATACTGTACCAACAGCAGAAGAGTCCCACACTGGTTACATATTAGACACTCTTGACAAAACAAAGAGGAATCGAATGGATAATCCAGAAGACAGAATGACAAAACAAGGAGTTGCATTTACCAGATTCGTACTTCACTCATGCATGCTCATAAGTGTTTGGGATCAAAACAAAGTTGTTGAAAAGTATGTAACATAACTTTAAATGTAATATTTATATATATCATTGGAAATTATGAATAAACTTAACCATATGAAGCATTTTCTGCTAATAAGCTAATTTTCTTGGTCCAATTTTTTGTCTTGATTTCCTGGGTCGGCTCGGCTTATTTCTTTTTAATGGGTTGGCTTTTTATTGGCTTCAGAACACTGGAAAAAGAAACAATATCACGCCTTCGTTGTCAAATTTCTTGCATTAATTTTTTTAATGCAGCACGGCATGATGATTAATATTTACATTCAGTGCATAATATTTACATTCATTTAATATTACAGGTTGAGCAGAAGAGGAAATTGGACTTATGACTCTTTTGTCTCTTACCTTTTTCACCAAATGCAATCAAATATTGATGGTTTCGCTCAAGCTATCAGTAAAAATACTGATGATGCAGAACTAGTCATGCACAAGATATTCGAATTCACCATCAATTCTAAGGTTTGAATACAACAAAACTGTGAAAATATATATTTGAGTATGTTTATCTATCAACAAGCATTGCTTCACATTTAATAAACAGGTTCAAAACACTAAAACTCATAATTGGTCAAGTATTGAATCAAGAAAAACATGGGAGAACGAATTCCGAAGTACATTTTTACTAAAAGTGCTTGGTGAAGCGGACCAAACAATCAGAGAATCATGGAGTGTTATTAAAGATAATAGCCCAATTCAGAGGTAATATTTCCTTTTTTTATTAGTAGAAGCTTGGGTAATTTATTTATTTTGATTTTTTCAGACTTGTACGGGATTTGCAAGTATCAGCTGTAAGCTCAGAGAGAATGGCATGCCAGGAACCAATTCTTTGGCATTTGTTGCAGAATCCAAGTACGACTCATCTGCAGCAATTTATAATGGATAATGCGGGTGAACAATGCAGTAAGTTATATTTTAAAAAAAATTATATTCCAGGTAAATAGTCAATACATTTATTTTTTTCTACTTGAAGTTTTATATGATCGGTATCATACTCATACTGTAATATCCATTTTTTATATCTGTAAAATAACATGAGATAATATTTGAAGAATTTGATCATATCTGCCTTCATATATTCTTTGGGTAAATTGTTTTGATTCTATTGCTTTTGATATAAATTCATAAAGTCATGTCTTTTCTTCATGATGACCAAAGCAATCTACTCCATATAAACATCTACATTTCTAGGTCATGCAAAGCAAATTGCAATTTAACAAAGCTGAAATATACCATATATACCGTACTTCCTGGCTATCAAGTCACTTTTCTGGACCCAATTTTGTGGCTTAATATTATGGAGGGGGGTCTTATCACACAATATTGTATGTATGTATGTATGTTTATTTGTGTCAAAAATATAACAGTATCTGCATATAGTTAAACGTTATAAAAAAGACAGGATACATGTTCAAGACCTTACTGGCCTAAGACACAGATGTGCGACATGCACCCCAAGAGGTATAACTGCAGTTTAGAACTGCTGCGTTATAGTAGGACAACAGACATGAAATATACAAATAAAACTCTTGTACAATACACAGGACAAAGAGGTACAGCACCATGGATATATGTACAAGTACAATAATCAGTTTATGGCACGTTCATGTCCCAGGTTCTGATGTGAAGGGATGGGAAGAGGTTATAAATTGCGTTTT